ACTTCTATAAATTCCCCTTTTCCACTAGTTCTTTCCTCTATTTCCTTCTACTTTCCTCTTGATATGTCCCACTATCATGCTCAGCCTTCATTTGGGTTTCAGTAATTTCTCTCGGTTACATTGTCCTTTCTGAATCCCTACCAGGCCCACGTCTCTCTCCGATCACTGTGCCATAAGGCTGGAAATTAACAGAAGGATGGTGAAGAACACAAGGGCAAATAATTGGAGGATGAACAGTTCTCTAATTCTCTATTGCAAAAGGAGTGGGTATTGACCTGGATCAGAGATGAAATCGGGATCAGCTTTTTCACGAGGCATTTTGCTTACCCAGCATTTTATGAAGTACATCGTTATTTAACTTTGTCCTCACACAGCCCTCCTAAATGGGCATTAAGAGCTACATATTTAGGTGAAAACAAAGCTGCAAAATTCGGAAAGGTTTCTTGAGATCACCAGCTGAACTCACAGGTGCACGGATTACAGCGCATGTGTGGCCAAATCGGAAGACCAAGCTCTTTTCCTGAGTCAGCACCAGGCTGCTGGGAACGCACTTTTATTTTGAGTCTGCGAGAATTGAGAAAAGCACAACAATGAATTAAGAGTTCAATTAAGTATTGTTTCAAAATTATCCTGCCCCCTAATTTCCTGAACTATTCTAATACTTTTAATACTTAAATAATTTTATGCCATTAGCAAGAACCAAATAATATTGTTTTAGTACTGAACCCAAAGCTGTTCCTCTTTTAAACAAATAATGCAAAAGAAAAGCAAAACTAATTTTTCCAATACATCACAATTACTTTAAGATGGCAAAAATATATAACTTGGTACTTTGGTGCATACCTAAATGCACATGTGCATCAACCATGCTATCTTCTTGGTATGATTGTAGACATTTTATTGGTTGCCTGGTGTTTAAATTCCCCTGTGTGATAAGACTCACAGCAACCTTAGGAGTCACAGTAGAGCTGCTCCATAGGGTTTCTCCACAGTCTGTAAATCTTTATGGGAGCTGACCACACCGTTTTCCTTCTAAGAAGTTGCTGGTAGTTTTGAACTGCTGATCTTTCAGTTAGAAGCTTGATGCTTAACCCAAAGCACCACCAAAGCCCTGAGTCCACAGATTATAGAGAAAATGTCTGGCCCAGCGGGAATATCAAGAAGATGTGTGTGGTTGTATGTTGATTGAAACAATGTATATCTAGGTCTGTTTATTCAGTGGTGTGTGATAAAGCTTAGGAACGAAGAGGTGAGTATTTCTAATACCTCTATTTGTTTTGACATCGTGGTTTCAACTTAAACGGCAGATTCCAACATCTTATGTGCAGTTTTGTTTTTCTAACCGAGCACCCTCTTTACCTTTTTTGGTAGGTACCTTTGCTTTAACATCCTTAATATCGGCCAATGCAGTGGAACGGCTTGTCCCTCAGAGCAGCCAGAACCTCACCACACAGAGTAACATCAGTGTGCTGGGCTTATCTGAATTTGAGATGCAAAGGGTCGGTGTGGCAGCAGCAGTTTCCTTCTTGGGAGGAGTGATCCAGGTAAGTCGGATTGAGGCTGGGGAATAAACAAAGGGGCAAACAACGGCAAAGCAAAAGCAACTCAGTGTTTTATTTCATGTGTTTGTCCAGATGGGTATGGAAATACTGTCTACTGCGTAGAGTAGGCAGTTACTCTCTAAGTATCGGATGAGTGATATACCTAGAATCGGTATGTGACATTATTGGGTGAGTTTTCATGTAAGGTACTGAGACAGTCCTTGGCCCTACAATGATCAGGTAGTCACTTTGGAATGTTACAAGAGAAGATGGGACGACGCTTCTAAAATCCTCACCAATCTATGAGTCAGAATCAACTCAATGGCAGTGAGTTTGAGTTATTTTAACCAATTTTTGGAGTGTTAGGATGGTGCGAATGGTTTACATGCATGGCTACTAACTCAAAGTTGGAGGTTAGAGTCCAACCAGTTGTAGCTTGAAGGAACAGCCGAATGGCACGCTTCTGAAAAATCAGCCCTTAAGCACTCTGTGGCGGACAGTCCTACCCTGAGGCACGTGGCTTGCTTGGCATCAGAATCTACTCGGCTTGCAACTGTTTTGCCAGATGTTAAGACTGTATTATTGTTATTATTTTTTAATCATTTTATTAGGGGCTCATACAACTCTTATCACAATCCATACATACATCAATTGTGTAAAGTGCATTTGTACATTCATTGCCCTCATCATTCTCAAAACATTTCCTCTCCACTTAAGCCCCTGGCATTCAGTCCTCAAGACTGTATTATTTCACCACTCACTGGAGTGCTAGGGGCTCTTAGTTTGTGCCATGGACTTGCTGTGTTGTACCTGAGACTATGGTCCTTTTTAAACAGCTTTATCCTTTCCAGAAAAGTCCCTGACTTCGCTCTTGAAAGATAGGAAGACAGTCTAAAATCTCATCATGTCTCACTGTCTCACAGTCATTCTGATCAGAAAATCATTACTCTGCTTAGTCTAAAATTCTACAGCTGTAATTTGTACTTTGGTGAATGCTTTTGCCCCATTATATGTCAAGTTTCATTCTAAGTGCACTGCATGTATGAATACGTTCAATACTCATCAACATTTTAATGAAGATAGATAGATGATGGATGGATGGATGGATGGATGGGTTGATAGATGGAGGAAGATGAAAACCAGTTGTCCTCAAGTTGGCTCTGACTCATGGCAATACCACGTGAATGAGAATAGTACTGGTTCCACAGGGTTGTTTAGTGGCTGCTAGTTTTAGACATAGATTATAAGACTTTTCTTCGGAGGTGCCTTCTGGATAGACTTAAACCTCCAACCTTTTCGTTAGCAGCCAAGTGCATTAACCAGAAACTCCTAGAGGTCACAGTACTAAAATGTAAAGTGACTCACAATTTGAACTCAGTGACGACTCTACTAGGGGCTCCTCTACAATGCTTTCTAATATTTCCTAAATTAGTACTGTGAACGGAGACAGCTTCTAGGACTAGGCATCATGTTAGTTCTTTTCTACATTTCACCTCTTTCATAGTAGCAGCAGAGTAGGCATTGGCTACATCTCTTATAGCAGGGCTGTATTCCTGGCTTCTGGACCATATATCTTCCTTTTAGTCCTGAAGGTCCTTCTCCACGTATGTGTATGGCTCCTCCTTATCATTGAAGGTGCAACTCAAGTATCATAATTTCAAAGAATCATTTACTGACATCTTTGGATGTGTTATAAATGATACCTCCCAGGGGGTCCCCTAGGATGTGGTGCATGCCCTATATTAGAAGACTTCTCAATCTACGAGGAAATAATCTTTTGACATAGTTTCTAGATTGTGAGCCTCTGTCGGGAAGAGAATCTGCATAGTTCCAGCAGCTGGTGCTTGACGACTCTGAGTCAAATAAATCAAATCAGAAAAAGTGAATAAAATACGAGTGTGTCACTATCATGAACAACTAAAATTATGTTTTGTTTTTTTACTTTTTCAGTTACCCCTTTCTCCCTCCAATCTCCCTGTCTCCCTCCAGTATGTAGGAAATTTGTTTCTATCTGTTTAAACTGTAATTCTTAATGAAAAATGACTAAGAAAACTTACATTTTTTGAAGTCGCTCACCAATTTTGTCAACCCTATCCAGCTCACACTTTTCCCCATCCCCACCCTATGTAACATAAGACCACAACTACTTTAATCCTAGTTCCTTTATGCCATTTAATAAGGCGGGGAATCAAATTGGATTTTAACCCAGTAGGGCTGACTCTCATTGGCTAGAGTTTTTTTTCTCAAAAGGTTCTGGACCCAAGAAGATTGTGATGCTTTCTTGAACTACAGAATCCCAAAAGAAAATTTTCTTAAGGACAATAAATTTCTGACATGAAAAAAAAAAATCAAATGTAAAATTGTGTTTCGTTTCGAAGCCCGTGACTAGTTCGCCTCCTGTGGATAATCACAGAGTGCACTTCTCTGTCCTCCGTTCCTGCTTGCCTTCTTTTGTCCTTTTTCCTTTAGCAAATCCTTGCATAACAACCATGGAAATTGCCATTCGTTCCACAGTCTAGCATTTGATAAATCCTACACGTACAGTTCTGATTTTTGTCCCTATGTACAGTACATTTCTTGGCAACATTAGGTGTTTGATTTGTGTGTGGAGAGGTGATGTCACTCACTCCTACAAAACTCCTTCATTTCCTTTAAGGTGATCTGTAACCTGCTTTCACAATTTTTTGCATTGTTTTCAATAACTCCTTTTTGAGTAGTTTCGCTCCTTTTAAATTAGCAACTTAAATTCCTCTGGGTCATGGCAAAATGTTATCTCGCAGTATTCCCTGCTCACTTGGTGTTTTTCCTATTCTTTAGGCTTGCATACTTTTCTTGGTGGTGGGAACTGCCTGTTGCAAAGAGGCCAATCATCCTGAGTTAGGAAGGTGGTGGAGTAACAAGGTGCACCGTGTATCACTAGAAAAGAGCCAATGGGGAACTGAGTATTCTCCTAGGGATGTTGGACGTAAGGTCGGGGCACGAGGAATTTCATTATCTTTTGGCATGCTTCTCTTATCTCAGGTTGTGTTGACTACTCCAGACCCACTCCAGACATATATAATTGCTCTACTGGTGGCCAGTTCATTGTCAGAAAGATTTTACTGGTTTTCTTGTTGAACAGGTTTTATAAGAAATGTGTGGCTTTATTTATTTTTTTCTTTTCCATTCTGACATGACCCCTTAGGGGTGGCATAAACCACTTATTACTTTATAGCAGTGGTTCTCAACTGGTGGGTCATGACCCCTTTCATAGGAGTTGCCTGATTCATAACAGTAGCAAAATGACAGTGATGAAGTAGCAATGAAAATAATTTTATGATTGGGGGGTCACCACCACATGAGGAACTGTTTGAAAGGGTCGTGGCCTTAGAAAGGTTGAGAACCCCTGCTGTGTAGGAAAGGGTTCACAGGAATTAGTATTGTTCCAGGGTGCCTTGCTAAATGGTATTGTCTCAGCCATGCAATGACATTAGTGTGACTTATTGTCACACATACACTCTCTCTGAAACCCAGCAGCCTGGTGGTCCTTTGTCTGTTGTTGCTGTTGTTATGTGCCATCCAGCTGGGTCTGTTCACAGCATCCTTAGGAGACACAGAACAAAACCTTGCCTGGTGCTGGGCCCTCGTCACAGTGGTAATGCTTGAGCCGATTGTTGCAGCCACTGAGTCCGTGCAGCTTGTTGAGAGTCTTCTCTTTTTCACCGACCCGCTACTTTACCCAGCATGCTGTCCTTATCCAGGGATTGGATTTTCCCAATAATGTGTCCAAAGTACATGGGATAAGATCTTGCCGTCCTCACTTCTAAGAAGCATTCTAGCTATACTTCCAAGACAGACTTGTCTTTCTTCTGGCAGCCCGGGGTACTTTCATTATTCTTTGATCAGACCGTAATGCAAAAGCATCGTTCTTCTGCAGAAGTCCACGTTCACTGTCCAGCTGTCACAGGCGTATGGAGTAAGAGAAAATGCCATGGTTTGGGTCTGGTGCATGTTAGTCAACCAAGTGACACCCTTGTTCCTGAACACTTTAAAGAGGTCCTGTGCTGCAGTTTTGCCCAAAGCAATAAATCGTTCCTTTAATATCTTACCTGCTGCTTCCATGAGTGTTATGGATCCAAGTAAAATGAAATCATGACAGCTTCACTCTTTTCACTGCTTATCATGATGTTTGTTGTCTATTGGTTCAGTTGTATTTTTGTTTTCTTTACTTTGAACAGTGATCTACATAGAAGCCTGTATATTTTATCTTCCTCAGTAAGTACTTCAAGCCCTCTTCACTTTCAGGAAGCAAGATTGCATTATCGGCATATTGTCATTTGTTAGTGAACCTTCCTCCAATCCTGATGCCATATTCTCCTTTACATAATCTAGCTTCTCAATTATTTGCTTAGCATGAAGATTGAATGCTACTGAAAGACTACAGCCTGGACACACCGCCCTGATTTCAAACCATGCAGAACCCCCTTGCTCTGTTCAAATGACTGCCTCTTAGTCTAAGTCAATGGTTCTCAAACTTCCTAATGCTGCGACCCTTTAATACGGTTCCTCATGTTGTGCTGACCCACAAACTGTAAAATTATTTTCAGTTCTACTTCATAACTGTTATTTTGTTACTGTTATGAATTGGGTGACCCCTGTGAAAGGGTTGTTTGAACTCCAAAGGTGTTGCGACCCACAGGTCGAGAACCGCTGGTCTAAGTGAAAGCTCTACATGAACATTAATACGTGTTCTGGAATTCCAGTTCTTCATAGTATTATCCATAGTTAGTTATGATCCACACAGCCAAATGCATCGTCAATAAAACAGAAATAGACATCTTTCTGGTAGTCTCTGCTTTCAGCCAACATTTGTCTAAAGTCCCTTGTTCTTTGTTGTATTCTGAGCCCAGCTTGACTTTCTGGAAGCTCCCTGTCAGTGTACTGCTGCAACAATGTTTGAATTATCTTCAACAACATTTTACTTGCATGTGACATTGATGATATGATTCAGTATTTCCCAATGT